TAAACAAAACTATATTCAGATGAGCTCGGGCTGGGGTGCATTAGCAAAAGTGAAACTGCCTCGGTACTATCTGCAGAATGTACGTCTGTCTCACAGGCACCTAGCCGCCCACGAAGTTCCGCCAAGGTCCCCAATATCCCCGTGCGCGGCTACTTGTGGCCCACAGCTTGGCCGGAGCTCGCGCGCCACCTGCCGGCCGCGCTGAGCAGCCGCAGCGGGAACCCCGCCGCGCGTTCTAGCCCGGACCTCATTGCAGCTGGCGGGGTCTCCCTGCTAGCACAAACCCCGCGACTGGCGACTTAGCGGGACAGCTCCTACGCTGGATTTGGCCGTGCTGTTGGGGCATGAAGCGCGGCCAGTGTTGCTCAGACGGTCTCGGACGTGCGCCTCGGAGGCGGACCCCACGCCCCCGTGCGCCCTAGCCAGCCTGACCACTGAGGGCCGGCGCGGTGCGGCAGTGGCCGGACGAGGGAGGAGTTTGTCAGGGTCCCGGCTGGCGGGTGGAAGAAGTGGGTGGAGCCTGGGGCGGGGCGGCTCCGCGCTCTCCCCAGCTCGCCGGCCGGTTCTGCTCACCTCTTGTCCAGGGACATGACGGGCACGCCCGGCGCCGCTGCCGCCGGGGATGGCGAGGGCTCCCTGCGCTCTCCGCCCTGCAGTCCGAGCTACGATCTCACGGGCAAGGTGGGTGGGCACTGCGCCCCGCGCTGGGGTCTCCTTGCCGGTTCTGATGGGCACTCCGTCTGGCGCCCTCCCTGGCCCACGCCCCTCTCGGGCTACATCTCGATCGGGCTCAGCCATTTCCCCCGGCAGCCAGGTCCCCCAAAGGAGGGAGGGAAGGTCGAGATAGAGCCCTGGTCCCAGCTCAGCTTCTAAGAATATGGGCTGGCGTCGGGGCCACGGTGCAAGGAAGATCGACGGGACTACCCATCTTGCAGACCTCAACCCAAATTCTTCTGCCACGCTGACCAACAAGAGCCTCGGGACTCCGTGGCTTTTGGTAAGGGTTAAGCTTGCTGCCCTCCTGGGCATGAGCTAGGAAGAGCTAAGAAATGGGGGGCCCTTGGAGACACAGAAAGGACGCCGCCTGTCTGGGACAGCTAACTCATAGTTAGTGCCTTTTTTTTTTTTTTTTTTTTTTTTTTTTTTTAGCTTAATTCTCATCTACATTCAAAGCCTTAGACTTGAAACTCTTTTAGGTTCCCAGCCAGTGGCTTCCAAGTTCTGCCCCTTTTCCTGCCGGGACTCCAGGGGTCACCCCTTACTCCCAGCAGCAGGACATGCCCCTCTTCCAGGAGGATGTTGCTAGCCATCTTGCAGGCTCTGGAATTTTTAGAACCTGAGAAAGATCTTAGCAATTAGTCTCTACGTCCCCCACCTGGGAAAGCTGTAGGGCTCCTCTCTGGGGTGTATTTGCTCGCAGGGTGCCCTGTATGGAAGCGGGTGGGGGCAGCACGGACACTTAAGTTGTCTCCCCTGCTGTGTGAGTCCTTGGAGAGAGCAAGTACAAAAATGCTGAAAGAAGCCAGGCACGGTGGCGCACACCTGTGCCGCCAGCACTCGGGAAGCTGAGGCAGGAGGGTCGCTGGGAGCTGCAAGCAGCCTAGGCTCCATAGGGAGACCCTATCCCAAAGAAAAAGAATGCTCAAAGAGGTGCTGAGTTCGTGCTCTTCCTCAGCAGGGTGGGGGAGAAACAAAAGTCCTAGATCTTGTCATGTTGCCTTGAAGGACACCTGCCTCTTTTTGTCCCCTGGTTCCTCCCCCACACCAGATCTCATTCTCACAAGGAGCCCTGGGCCTCTACTAGAGAGTTTCAGGGGAAGCTACTGGCCCAGCCACACGCCAGAGTCGTTGAGATAGGCGTCCTGTGTGGGCTGGTGGCAGGAAATGGGCCCCGATCTCTCAGAGAAGGGGGAGCTACCATGGCCAGCCTCCAGCTGATGGGGACCTCCTGACCTCACTGCCCTACAAGCCAGCTGAGCTGTTTGCTTAGGTGACTAGGCTGAGCAGCTGTTTGTGTTTGGTGGACTAGCCCAGCTGGGTGACTGGCTGCATCATTTGCCCCTAGGCAGCTGTGATCCTGAAGCATGCAGGCCTTGGCCCCGCCTCCCTCCTTCCTGGTCAGGGGCTGGGACCTAGGCTCCAGAGGGTCCCCTCCCCCACCTCTCCATCTGACCCCTGGCCAGGCAGCATTTGCAGGAAAGTGCCTACCCACTCCGACACCTTTCCAGGCCTGTCCCAGAGGACAGAGTCTGGGAGGCCCTGGGCTGGCAGGAGCTCCTTGGAGAGACAGGACTCTTAGGCAGGCAGTGCCTACCCTTGGGCCACTCTTCTCTGGGTCCAAAGGCTTCATGCCACATTGCCCTACCATTAATAGATTCTAGAATTGCCTTCAAGAAATGATCCCAGGGGCTGGTGAGATAGCTCAGTGGACTAAGCACCTGTTAGGCAAGCATAGGGACCAGGGTTTGATCCCTGGCACATGCCACTCCAGCCCCACCCTGGGCATGCTGAGCTGGCGACCAAGTCTGGGCATGGTGGGCACACACCATGTAATCCCAGTACTAGGGAGGCTAAAAACAGGAGAATCACTACAAGTCTGAGCTGCATAGCAAGACCCTGTACCAAATACAGTTTAAAAAAAAAAAAATCCCTCCTATCTACCTACCTACTGCGGAGACCTGGCTCAGCCCCCTTCTTTCTACAGTTAATTAATCCCAATACACTGCAACTGTGGCAGGATGTCTGCCTCCACAGTCAGATTCAGAGCCTCAGAAACCATCCAAGGGCCAGGAATATAGCTCACTGGCACAGTTCTTGCCTGGTATGGATGAGGTCCTGAGTTCAATTCTAGGTACTAAAAAAAAAAAAAAATCACCCAAACCTACTGAGTGATGTGGTTCCCTCCACCATCACTACATATTCTCTAGAGAAGCAGCCCTGGGCTGGCAAAGTGTAAAACAGGGGTCCTTCCCCACCCTCACACCCCTGCCTGGAGCTGCTGCCCTCCTCACCTGCAGCAACCCAGTGGTACTAATTTATTACATTTACCCGATGGGTGTGGGAAATTTCTGCCAAAAGAACTTCAGTCTCCCCATCAAAAATTCAGCCTTCCCTCATTCGTGGAACCCTTTTGCAAGCAGATGCTGTGACTTAAAATGAAACCCAAACAACAGTAATTTCAGAGCATTCCTCTGCCCCCTGCCCCCACGAGGCCCTCATAGGCTCCCTCGGGTGGATTCTGTCCCCAAGGCATGGGTTCCCTTTCCCAGCCCTGCAACCCCACCCGCCCACAGGTGTACACCTCAGTGGTAAACACACAGAAGGATGGAATCCCTATACCACGTGGTGACACACAAATGTGGCTAAAGTCATGTGGCCACAGTCACTCAAATATGAGGCTCTCAAGAGTCCCTGAGGATACTGAGAGGTCTCCTTACGGGCTTCCAGGATGCTGGACAAAGCCAGGAGGGTGAGGAGAAGTAGGAATTGTGGAGAAGCAAAAAGGAGATGCCTGCCGGCTCCCCAGAAGCAGAGGCGCTGTGGGCATCTTTTCTGTCTGGCCCTCTCCCTTACTCTAATGCTCTTTCCAGGTTGTCTCCCTGGAACCCTAGAAACCCTTTCATCCCCCAGTGCCTATTAACTGCCTCTGCCCCATCTCCTAGGTGATGCTTCTGGGAGACTCAGGTGTCGGCAAAACCTGTTTCCTGATCCAATTCAAAGACGGGGCCTTCCTGTCCGGGACCTTCATAGCCACGGTCGGCATAGACTTCAGGGTGAGGTGGCTGGAGGTTCCTCCTCCAAGCAGTGACCTGGGCTGTGGCGGCTCAGGCTCAGGGGAACTGCCCTCTCCTGGCCCCTGAGAACCCCTCTGTCTCGCAGCCTGGAGGCCATCAGAGCAGCTCCACTGGGAGAGCACAGAGGCGGCCAGGTTGGAGGAGCCTGGGCCGGGTTGGTACCTTGTCACCTACAGGATATGACAATCACAACCAAGTCTTCCTGTCTTCTGCTGCTGGCTGGGGTGGGGGTGGGGCAGAGCAGAGCAGCCCCAGCCAGCTGTGTAAGCTGAGTTTCTTGGCCCTGCAGAACCCTTGTTCATGGCCCTGTGAGCCATGCCTTCCCCACCCCACCCCCCACCAGACTTCATGGTCATCAGTTGCTGGGGGTTGCCTTGCCCCAAGCTTAAGGCTGGCCTGTCCAGGTGGGGACACAGCAGCCAGGCAGGCAGGCCCTCCCTCTCCTTGGAAGACTCCTTTTTAAGTTTTGTTGTTGTTGTCTTTTCTGTGTGGGGGATAGAAATCAGGTGCTTATACTACTCAGCTATCTCTCTGGCCAAGACTCCCTTTTTATGAATCTGCTTAGTACCACGCACCAGGGGTCCAGGAAGGGGAGGTTCTAACCCTGACAAGTGGGTCACCTAGAGGCTTGGTGCCTCCTCCAAGTGGGCAAACGTCTGTGCGTAGCTACAGGGAAGGTGGCCCTGTGGATCTAGTCCCTAGATTGCTGGTGGGCTTTGTCTCCCCTGCCTGTCCTCCTCCTCCTTGGTAATGGGGATTGAACCCAGGGCCTTGGCACTAAACTGTATCCCTATCCCTTTTTTTAAAATTTTTTATTTTGAGATAAAGCCTTGCTAAATTGCCCAGGCTGGGCCCAAACTTTCAGCTGTCCTGCCTCAGCCTCCCAGAGTACTGGGGTGACAGACTTGTGCCACCATGCCCGGATCAAAGATTTCATCTCTAAGGGCTGAGCTCTGGAGAAGATGAAAGTAGGAACAGGGCACCACTCGGGCTCCCCTTGCCCTGCTGTGTGGTGCAGGAGAGGTGGGCTCCTTGGGAAGGAAGATTTACAGTGCGCGTCTGGGGCCAGGCTTCCACAGCCCCGAGGGAGCAATCCACTGAAGAAGACTCTGGCTCAGCACACCACCTGGAGGCCCAGAGGGACCAGGACGAGATGGCGGCAAAGCCTCTTCTGCCCTGCCCACCCTGCACCCTTTTCTCTTTCAGAACAAGGTGGTGACCGTGGATGGTGTGAGGGTGAAGCTGCAGGTGAGCCTAGAGGCTGCAGTGGGGAGAGAGGATGCAGGAGTCTGCCTGGCCCCTCACCCTGAACCACAGGAGGCCTGTAGTCTTGCCTTCAACCTGGGGTAATTTCCTGTGGAGCCCATGAGAGGAAGCAGCTTTTGTTTTGTTGATATCTGCAGAAAAAGCAGTTCCCAGGCACCCTGTCTTCTATCAGAGGCATCCCAGAATGCCTTCAGAGGAGTTTAGCCTCCCTGCATGGAGGCCAGTTTCCTGGGCTTCCAGGAGGAGGGTTAGGGGTCCCATCCCAGGCTAGGGGAGAGGAGATAGCACTGAATGGGCTTGAGAAGCCACTAGCTACCACTGTCGAGGATGTCACCAGACTAGCATGCCCACAAGAACCTACAGAAAGGGGCCGGGGAGATGGCTCAGTAGGATAAGTGCTTGACCTTGCAAATGCAAGGATCTGAGTTCAATCCCCGGTTCCGCCAAAAAAAAAAAAAAAAAAAAAAAAACCCAAAACAAAACAAAAAAAGAACTTACAGAAGGAAACGGACCCCTCCCCACAGAGTCACCCCTCAGGGCAGCCTTCCTCCTCCCAACCTTTTCTCCGTCCCTTCCTAGATCTGGGACACTGCAGGGCAGGAGCGCTTCCGCAGTGTCACCCACGCCTACTACAGAGATGCCCAGGGTAAGGCTCTGTGCCCCCTAGCCCTCCCAGCCCCTCTGTAGCACCCCTGTGCTGCTCTGAGTCTCTCTGCTGTCTCTCTCTCTCTCCCCCTCCAGCCTTGCTCCTGCTCTATGACATCACCAACAAATCTTCCTTTGACAACATCAGGGTAAGCCTTTTCCAGGGAACCTTCTTGACCCTAAACAACCAAGGCAGGGGCCATGCTGCCCCATTACTTCCTGCCCTGGGAATGGGGCAGATTCTGCAAGCCTGCCACCTGCCAAAGAGCATCTACCTGTGACTGGGCATCTGATTGTCATGGAATAGTGGCATGGACTCCAAGCAGGCTGCTGTGCCCCATGTTGCCTTCATAGCTCTGTCTGTGATTCATGAGTGTGTTCTCATGTTAGAGTTTCGTGGGCCCAGCACTACCCTGGACAGAGATGCAGGGAAGACCCCAGCCAGGAAAGTCTACAAGTACATCCAGCCTTAGTTACAGCTTTCACAGTGATTGTGCCCTCACAGCCAATCCATTGGAGAATAGAGACACCAATTCAATAACTAGAAATGCTAAGCTGGGCTTTTTGGTGCAGTCCTGTAATCCCAGCTAAGGAGGCTGAGGCAGAAAGATTGCAAGTTGAGACAGAGCAACTTAGCAAGACAGCATCTCAAAATCAAATTGCAAAAAGTGCTGGGGATATCGCTTAGGGTACAGCACTTGCCCTGGGTTTGATTCTTTAGCAATAAAAATCCATAAGCAAATGTAACGAACTGTGTACAACTTCGTTAGAGATTTCAGGTGCCCCGTGATGCCCAGGACCATGTACTGACAGGCAAACAGACATAAGAGACATAAATGAATGGAAAATCACTGTCCTACCTCCAACCCCATGTTCATGGTCACTGGGCCCTGTGTAGTCTTCGAATCCTCAATAGGTCACACCAGGAGGAGGGCCTGGGTCTCAGCCTCGGCCTCGCTCAGCTTCACCTCTCCTGCAGGCCTGGCTCACTGAGATTCATGAGTATGCCCGGAGGGATGTGGTGATCGTGCTGCTAGGCAACAAGGTGAGTGGCTCCCACCCTGCCCCTCCTCTCCTGTTGCTGGCGCTTCAGCCCCGTACCACCCAAGCAAAGCTCTCTAGACATCCTTCCACAAAGGACCCTTTGGTCTCCACTTCAGGACTCAGACACATCTGAAGGAAGCCCAGTACCCTCTTAAAGCTTGGGAAATGGCTCCTCCCAGGAAAGGCCCAAGCTGCTGCCTGGGAAGAGCAGGGTGGTGCTAGTGCCAGTCCAGATTACATTGCAGGGAACAGGGTCAGGATCAGGGGCTGACTGTGAAGGGTTAGCTGCCACTACTGTCACCATCCACTAGCCCCAAGTCTAGGACCCCACACCTTGGCCAACAAGAATCACCCACCTGAACAGCCATAAATCCTGGGCCCTAGCCAATCACAGCTGCCCACATTTCCTCAGGACACCAGCAGAGGGCAGGCAGTGCATGCTCCTGGGGCAAAAGTTGGGCCATCTTGGGTTAAGGCTTCCTTCCCCAATGTGACCCACATGGGCTTAACAGGCGGATGTGAGCAGCGAAAGGGTGATCCGCTCAGAGGACGGAGAGACTCTGGCCAGGGTAAGTGACTGCTAGCAGGGTGGGATACATGATGGGGCAGCCAGAGGCTGGCCCTGAAGACACTCTCTCCTGGGCAGGAATATGGCGTTCCCTTCATGGAGACCAGCGCCAAGACGGGCATGAATGTGGAGTTAGCCTTCCTGGCCATTGCCAAGTAAGAGTTGAGCAGTGACATGATGGAACAGGGCTCGGAGACACCCCTGGAGAATCCAGTAGGGCCAAGCTGCTGGCCCAGCCCCTAGGCCCGCATGCATTCTGCATTCTTAGCTCCGTTTGCCCCTGGCCACAGGAATGGGAGTGGGCATGCCTGGCGCTGCACACCCACCCAGCCCATCACACTTCCTCTTCCAGGGAGCTGAAACACCGCGCAGGGAGACAAGCTAACGAGCCCAGCTTCCAGATCCGAGATTACGTGGAGTCTCAGAAAAAACGCCCCAGCTGCTGCTCCTTTGTGTGACTCCCAAGGGGCTGAGAAGAGGCCCCAGAGGCCCTCGGGATATAGCTGTGTCCCCAGCACTGGCTTATTGTGAGCGGCGGAGTCAGGAGGTCTCACACACAGTCTTTTAGCCTGGGCAGCTGTCTCATAGGTCCCACCCCTTTTCCGGTAGCTTCCTGTATTCTGGGGAAAGGCAAACTATTTTATCTCATTTTATCTTAAGGATACATAACTTAATACCAAAAAAAGAAAAAAGTAATAAGATGCCCAGAAAACTAAGATAGGGACCTGGCAGTCCTTTTGCCTTCTTGAACTCAGAGCTAGGATCTGAGAGGGTGGGCCTCCCTCCTAGCAACAAGAGTGGTTATAGCCCCAGCTCTGTGTCAGGGGACACTACTGGCCCTGTGAGAGCTGCTAGTGACCCCCACACCATCCTCCCTTCATTTGGAAAGACTAAACAGCCCTCGCCTTCACTTCTTCCAGCTCCCTAGGGCATGCTCTTCCCCAGTAAATTTCACTGGGAGCTTAGACATTGGGGAAGACAGTTGTAGAGATTAAGAGGGGCCATCTTCCGGGGGCACAAATGGAGCAGTAGTAGAGACTAGGGTCTGTTCTTCGCTACCTCTGGCCTTCTGACCCCTTCCTGGAGATATACCCCCTCCCCTCCAGCATCCAAGCACTCTGGAGCACCTGGAAACTTTGGTTCCTGTTTCCCAGACCTCAGATCCCAGAGGAAGCCCTCCCTACCACGTTGTCTCATCTGCCTTTCAACTTGTGTCTCTAGATACCTGAGGTAATTAGAAAAAGGTCTTTCTTCCCTTTCCAGTCCTTTGGAGGGTGAGCAACCCCACAGCTACTTCTTCAAGCAGCAGGGGTGCTTAGCTCCCTGGATAAAGAGCTGGACAGGGGATGGCAAAATAGCTCAGTGCACCACAGTGCCGAGCCCAGCCCCCAGGCTCTCTAAGACGGCCACAGAGTCTGGGGGGGGGGGGTGCACACCTGTAATCCCAGCACTGGGGAGACTGAAAATAGGATCACTACGAGTTCGAGCTGTACAGTGAGACCCTGGAGGGGGGAACTGGACAAAGAGAAACTCCTGGATCCTGAACCAAGTAAGAGACCGAATTGAGCAAACCTGCCCCCAGCTCTCTCTCTCTAAATCCAAGCTTTTTCTCCAACTTAACGTCTCAGACACCAGGGCCAAAACTACTATCTCCACTCCTACTGAGACTGGTTAGGGAATGGGAAAGCATCGTTTCTTGGTGAACCAGGGCAAAGCACAAAGCAGGGACAAGTGGGTAAACCTAGAGGGAAGAGACAGGCAGCAAAGAGTTCATGCAGACCCAGGGTTTCATTTCCCCCAAACCCTCATCTCAGTCCTTGGGAAATGAACCACTGGAGACCTGCAGGTTGAGACCTTCAGGCACCTCACTCCAGCCCTGCAGGCCAGGGGCAGAAGAGGGGTAAGAAAATGGTATGCCAGGCATATTTATGAGGTTGCTGCATTTGCTTTCAAGGCAAGAATCTTGCTCTGTGAGCTCCCACTTGGGCCAAATAAGATAAGGAAGCTCTCCCCAGTTTCTCTCAGGTGGAATAGGGAGAGGCCTAACCTCACAAGTCTCTTCCGGAACCCCTGGCAACTTTGGGCTCCTAGCATTTGTGTTTTTCAGAATTAAATTGCAGTATTTTGGAAAGTACACCCTGTCCAGTGTGTTTGAAGTGGGCATGGGAGGAGGGATCGTGTTAAAGGGATTATTATTGCATGTCGGGGCAACTGTTGTTGACTGCCAAAATCATTCGATGTTCATCCTTCAGTGTCTTCAAAGGGTCACCTCGCCCTTAAGTGACTGCCCCTCTCTGAGACCAGGTTATCTGTCAAGAGGGAGCCAGAAGGCTTATCTTACCTTCCTAGTCATTTTTCTTTCCCTGTTGAAAAAAGCCAGGGCTCCTTTCCCTGGGGAGTGCACCTTGAGATTGATTACCTGACTGCCTCTCCTCACTCTACCTCCCTAACCTAAGGCCCATTCCAGCCGCTAGGTGTGAGATCTAACTTGGGCTGCGAGAAGCCTCAGGCTCTCTGCTGAGCCCCCTGGCCTTCCCAGCCGAGATCAGAGTTCGTGCCCAATACTCAGGTCCTGGGACCGTACAAAGTAACTCCACAAACGGAAACATTGTTATTCAAACAACTCAGTCGCGTCCAAGAAGGATCTCTGTCCAGTTCTTAAGACTGCCGGCCCTCTAGGCCCCAGTGCAGGGACGGTTTCCCCGGCAACAGTCACTATCATGAACGGAGCTATAAACCAGGCTTTCGCTAAAGGCTGTTAAGACGTGAAGGTTTTCTGCCTCGGCCTGGTTCTGTTCGACCCCCAGCAACAGCCGGTAAAACCGACTGCGGCCTGCGATCCCCGCTCAATACCTGGAACTCGCTCTGGCCCCGCCCCGCCCGGCTCAACTCCTGCACTTAGTAACAAACACTTCCACTTCCTGAGACCTCTTTTCTTCGTCCGCCGCCGGGCGCCAAGCCCAGCACAGGCTCCGCCCCCGAACCTCTCCATTGGCTCTCGCCGTTCACCCGGCCCGAACGCCCCCGTCTGAGGCCTCTGATTGGGCCGTGATGGTCCACACCCTCGAAGAAGTCCCGCCCCCGGCATTTGAGGCCGGCGGGGTTCTGGAACGCTCAGTGGCTGCGCGGGACAGGAATTGGTCGGAGTTCCACCGTCCAGTCTTCCCGGTCTTCGCGGTTCGCTCCTGGTGTACCCGAGACACCTGTGCTCTCCGCCGGTGCAGGGTTTCCTGCCGCATTCCTTCCCGTCCCCCAGTTCGTAGGGCGGGGAGAAAGGCTGGGCCGTCGCGTCCCGGACCCTCGGTAGGACCTTGCTTCGCGCCGCTGAGCCGTTGCAGGGCGAGATGAGCTCGGACTCGGCGGCCGGGGCGCCCCTGCCCCGGCTCTGTTGCCTGGAGAAGGGCCCGAACGGCTACGGCTTCCACCTGCACGGGGAGAAGGGCAAGGTGGGCCAGTTCATCCGGCTGGTGGAGCCCGGCTCCCCGGCCGAGAAGGCGGGGCTGCTGGCCGGCGACCGGCTGGTGGGAGTCAACGGCGAGAACGTGGAGAAGGAGACCCACCAGCAGGTGGTGAGCCGCATCCGCGCCTCGCCCAACGCCGTGCGCCTGCTGGTGGTCGATCCCGAGACCGACGAGCAGCTGAAGAAGCTCGGCGTCCAGGTGGGCGAGGAGCTGCTGCGCACCCACGAAGAGCCCGGGCAGGCCGAGCCACCCGCCGCCAACGAGGCTCAGACGGACGGAAGCGAAAGTGAGCCGCGCGAGACCGAGGAGAGCCACCCGGAGCGGGTAAGTGGGGGTCGGGCTGGGGGGATCGCGGAGAGACCCTGGCGCCCCACACGCCCCTTCTGAAACGCAAGCCTCACAGGTGGGGAGCCTGCTTCCGTCTGCCGACTCGGCGCCTGGACGGTTCCTGCACAGGCTTGGGGCTGCGTCCCGGGACCCCATTCCCCCTGCCCAGCCTTGAGGGCGGCACAAGGAAGCCTGGACCCCTTTCCATTGGTTTTTAGTCCCTCCAAAGCCCCCGAACTCGGTCCTCGGGGCGAAGGGGTATCCTCTCCGGGGTCCGTATAGCTCGGAGCCAGGCAGGAAGGAGGATCTCCCCGCCCTAGAGTGTCAGCTTCCTCCACTGTCCCTGTGGGTGGTAGCTGAAGTTGGGGCGAAGGCAACTGCGTCCCGACTTCAAGAAAGCTGGGAGAATACCCATTTTCTGTGGGGAGCCCCTGGAGTGGGGATGGGTCGGTCCTTGGGAGGTTCGCCCGCAACTCTGTCAGCCTCCTGGTGTGTGTATCATTAACTTTACCCGGGCTGGACTTCAGTCTCCTGAAATCTATAGTGACTTCTAATAAAAGAGAGGAAGACCCAGGCTCTGAACGACGTGTGGGGGTGGGGTGCTGGGAAGAGAAGCAGAGACGACTTGGGGGTGGGTGACTCTGCCACCCAGGAGGATTTATGATTCTCAGGAATGTGAGGAGTAAGCACTAGTTTGTATCAGGGAGGAGGAGGAGGAACGCTGGGGGAGGGAACAGGCACATGGCCAGGCGGCGGCCAGCAGAGACCACCGCAGGCAGGTGGTCTTGCCCGGGCCGGCCCTTGTTGCTTACTCCAGTGCCTGGACTCCAAGAAGGCTGGATGCCTTTGTGGGCCTTTAGTCTTTCCTCCAAACAATCCCAGTTTGGATCAGCTGCAGAAGAGGCAGCTGGCAAAACAGGAGCTGTTGTGCTGAGCCTCCTGTCCCCAGAGAGCATGGGAGGGCTGGATGCAGAGTGTGGGAGCGAGGCCTCTTAGGCATGCACCATTTCTCTACCTGATGGCAGCTTGGGACAGGCTGTCTGTGGGGCCAGGAGGTCCTCCCTGACTAGAGAAATGGCAGAGTGGAGCGTTGAGGTAGAGATGGAGCCTGAGGACCGACTGGTTTGATAAAAGTGAGGTCCTGGTCCCTGACCAGCCAGAGTCAGGTGCTGACAATGCCACAGTCACTACGTTCCCACTTTCTGCCACTGCCAACTTGGCATTGGCAGGGAGTGGGAGAGTTAGTTGGGGCGCCCCTGGCAGGGAGTTGACACTGGGGATTTGGAACCTATGACCTCTGTTCCCTGGCATTAACCCAGTTTGAACTTTGAGCTGAGTCCATCGATTTGTAATTCTTTTTTTTTTTTTTTCCCCTCTCCTTTGGACTTTGGCACCCGCACAATATCCCCATCACCAGCACCAAGTTACAGTCATGTTCAGCTCCTCCCTTTGCCCTTTTAGTTCTGCTGCTGGATGCCAGAGCGCCTGGGGGAGGAGGTTTATGTAGAGGATGGTAGCACACACTCTTCACCGAGCCATCCAAAAAGACAGTGGGCTTGGGTCTCCTGCTCTAGGGGAGCCCAGAATCAGGTTCCCCCAGATGGTAGGGTGACACAGGCATTTGCGTGTGTTCGTTAGGCCAGGAAACAGGCACGCCATCACCACACAAGTCAGCAATTCTCAGAGATTTGATCCTTCCATCCACAAAATGGGAACATTCAATGAAATGCTTGACTCTCTAGAATTTTAGAAATAATGGAAGTACTGGTACCCCTCCTAGGTGCTAAATTGGGCGCATTTATGGAAGGCATTTAGATCCTGGGTCTGTTCAACCAACTTCTTCAGCTTTATTCATAGCTGATCAGCAATGCTGAGCCTCTACTGGAAAATTGCCATATTCTGATACACTGAGTTTGCAGGTGACCTACCCTGATACTGCAAAAAATGTCCATAAACATTGTGTTCCTTTTTTTCTAAAATGCATTACGGGGCTGGGCATGATGACACATGCCTGTAATCCCAGCCCTGTAATCCCAGCACTCAAGAGGGTGAGGCATTCTCAAAATAAATAAATAAAATAAAATGCATTGCTTCCCTACTGAAGACATCTAATTGAGATTTACTAATTAGTTTCAGCCAGAATTTGCAGCGTGTAGAGTTCCAATATCTTCATAAGTGCTCATAAGTGAAGAAGGTAGGTGTGGAAAGGAGCCGGGCAGAAATTGTTTGGCTGGTTGGCATCTTGTCTGGGGGACCAGCCCAGGTCAGGAATGTCATGGGAAGAGTGTAAGAGGTCCAGGGAGCAATGGCCATTCCTGCTGGCCTGTCTAGGCCCAAGGAGGCAAGGGTGGGCTTCCAGTGGTTTTCCTCACCAGCTGAGGACAGCAAGAAGCAGAAGCAACCTGCCCTGCTGCTCCCTTGCTTAAAGCCCTCCTCCCAACCCCCATTAGTATAGGAGGAGGCCCAAACCCTTAAGCCTGGGACCAAAGTGAGGGCTGGGCAGGTCTGAACCAGCTGAGCTGCACTGACCAGGCTGCCTTGGCCAAGATACTTCACTTCCCTATGTTTCCATTTTCTCTTGTGTAAGTTGAGGCTGAGGGCAGTGACCTCACAGGGTTGTCAAGGTTACAGGCCCAGGGCACAACAGTCACTGTTTAATAGTTACCTGCTGTTCCACGCCCTTCCCTATCTGGCAGCCCCTGCTGACCCCTTCAACCACACTAAAGGTCCGAATTCCATTCTAGCCTCTCAGTCATCACACCCTGATTTCCTAAATTTGGGAATCCTCTGCAACGGCACCAGCATACGTTCCACAACCACTCAGCTCCATGAGAGGCAGTGGTGGCTTTTCCATTCCTGCTGCTCTTTGTTCTTGTATTTCTGGTTGTTTTGCACTAGGCATTACTCCAGCCATCTCTTCATGACCTCTATGATGTGGTAATCCCAAGAACAACAACTGAGGTTTATTTGTGCGAATAGCCCCAGTGTCGTGCCAGGTCCAAGGTAGGGAGGTTCTCAGTAAATATTTTTGAATGAATGAATGAACACATAACAGCTGTAAGGGGCCTTTGTCCTGGTTCATCTCAGACCAGCACACCTGGGCTTGTTTGTGCGTCCAGCACACCCAGGATTGGAATGCAGGTAGAACCTACTTACTCTTTCTTGCCTGCTAGCAGCTTCCATTTCAAAACTCCAAAGCCAGGTCTAGGTTTAGGGGTTGGCCAGATCAGTAGTTGAATCCCAGATGTGCTGATCCCTGACTCTGGAACCTGAGAGTCCATGGCTCCCTATAAGCCTCAGCCTCCACCCCTGTAAAATCTGGAACACCAGCATCTACCCCCTTGGGGTTGCCTAGAAGATTACCTGAGATGACAGGAATGTGAAAGTTCCAGCTTGAGGCAGACTGTCCAGCCTTGACCCTGAACTTGATTCCAGAGGCAGAGAGAGTGCGGGTGCCCCAGGTAGGGAGGTGGGTGGGCACAACTAGTTGGCAAGCTGCCTCCTTCTTTCCCAGACAACCAGGTTGCCGCTTTGGCAAGGTTTGAGCTGCTGGGTGCTTGGATTTGAAATGGACAGGCTTCCGTGGCGGTTATGTGTTGTTGTTTGGGTTCCTAAATCATAACCCCACAGATAAAACAGCCAAGCTCCTAGTTTTACCTTCAGGCTCCTATTAAGTTAAATCAGCCACTAGAAATCATTCTCTTGGAGGCTGAAAGTAAGTGACTTCCTTCTCCAGGAATCCCAGGTAGATAAGGGTCCTTTCCCAAATTTCCTATCCCTGAATAAGTGCTTAGGGACTAGAGGGACAGGGGATGCAGCCCAAGTTCCATCACTGCTTGCAGCCTCTTTACCCTCAGAAACCAGAGCTCTAGACCACCCCATCAGGTGTTCCCCTGCTCTGCCTTGCTAAGGTAGAGTGGCCCTGCCTGGGAAGGACACTACCTGCTGCTTGCCAGCCTGTGCCTTGAAGATAGGGTTGTGCATCTCTTTGATTTCCCCCGCAGCAAGCCTGTAAACTACGTATCATATTCTCCATTTGGTAAGTCGCTAGTAAGTGTTTGATACGCAACAAACACGTGGAGCCTGGTGATGTGCTACTAAACATGCCTATGTCATTTATGCACGTGACCCACTCCATGCAAATATTAGTCCCATTCTCTACCTGTGGAAACTGAGGCTAAGTCAGGTTAGGTGGCCAGCACCAGGACCCTCAGCTAGGGAGTCCTCCAGCAAAGCCAGGTATCTTGGTTCTCAGCCCTGACTGTAGAATATGCGTGTTCTCCAGCTGTACACGTTGTGCCCGGCCTTCCAACTGAATCTCAACCCACTATACTTTTTTTTTGTGGGGTAGCGGGGTTTGAGATGGGTTTCACTATATAGTTTGCTGAGACAAGAGTTCTTGGCTGGCCTTGAACTCACCATGATCCTCCTGCCTCAGCTTCCCAAGTGCTGGGATTACTGGCTTGTACCACCATGCCTAGCTTTCTATCCGTTATATTCTGAGGCATACCAGGACCATGACAAGAGCATACATCCAGGCTGCTGGGGGCTCAGGATGGTAGCTGTGGGGTAGGGCACTTGCCTTGCATTCACAAGTCCTCTGGGCTGAGTCCCCAGCAGTGGGAAAAAAGAAAAATGAAATTCAGACCACTTGAACCAATGTCCACTAGGGGTCCAGGTAGCTGGTCCCTAATCAGAGCCAAGGAAGCAAGCACAGAGGCCAGGGGTTCTGGATGCTCTGTCCCCAGCAGTCCCTCAGCCCTGATGAAAACCTCCCAGGAGGGGCAAGCTCCTGTCCCCGTGCTTCTCGGGGGCCGAGTCCCTGCTGGTGGCTCTTGGACTCACCCATAGTGCCAAGAAGCCTCGCTGGAGGCTGGGCTTGGTGGCTGCCTAAACCTTCCCCTGGGGAAGGACCACTTGCCGTGGCCACAGATGCCTAGGCGATGTTTAGGTTCCTGGGTCCTAAAACGGCCACGTGCTGTCTCTCACGCAAGGTC